TACGGTTTGTTTGGAAGTATTATGTTATGTTAAAGTTTGTATCACTTAAACATGAATGTAATAGTTGGATTTTAATATATGGATTGTATCAGTTTAGTTAATTTCAGTTTTTGCAGTTCAACATGAATGAATATAACAGTTAAAGATAATGTTAACTTGGTTAAAGTGTTTTAATTTGGTCTGTCAAAGCATAATCCACATGAATATAACAGTTTTGGATTATATCATGTCAAAGTGTTTTTTATGTTTGGTATATAACAGTTTTGGTCTGTCAATGATATATTTGGAGTATATTTGGTATATAACAGTTTGGTATATAACAACAGCATACATGAAGCAGCATACATATAACAGTTTGGATTATATTTCATAATACCTCTAAACAACAACAACACCCTACATAAGTTGGTTATGCTTTTAAGTTCATTTTATCATACCTATTTGGTATATAACAGTTTGGATTATATTTGGTATATAACAGTTTGATTAACCCTAGCATACACGAAGCAGCATACATATAACAGTTTGGATTATATTTCATAATACCTATAAACAACAACAACAACATACATAAGTTGGTTCTGCTTTTAGGTTCATTTCATAATACCTATTTGGTATATAACAACCTATTTGGTATATAGCAACATATTTGGTATATAACATCCTATTTGGTATATAGCAGCATATTTGGTATATAACAGCAGGATACATATAAGTTGGTTCTGCTTTTAGGTTCATTACATAATACCTATAAACAACAACAACATCATACATAAACCTGTAATACTTTCCACAAAATATATTTTTTCCAAAAACAACATGTTCATGACAGCAGTAGAATACAACAACTATAGAGCTTGTTCATGACAGCAGTAGAGTACAACATGTTCAAATTATAAACTTGTTCATGACAGCAGTAGAGTACAACATGTTCCAAATTATAAACTTGTTAATGACAACATCAGTACTAAAATACATAAACTTGTCCTAAAACGACAGCAGTAAAATACATAATCTTGTTCTAGGTAACTAAATTCACATGTTCCACAACTTATAGCTTCTTCTTTGGGGTGATCCTCTTTGCTGGAGTAGACCTCCTTGTTACTGGGCCTACCACATTCTTCGCATCACTCAACCTAGTTGTAGGTCCAGGTGGCACAAAAGGTCTTGTTGGCTTCCTTACAGGCAGCTTTTGTGTCTTGCCCTTAGCATCCTTTCCATTAGAAGTCTGGGATGCTTGGCAAGATTGTTGAGTAGGCTGACTTGTTGAAGTAGGAGTGTGGTGACTAGTTTGTTGAGCAGTCTGAGATGGAGTGTGTTGACTAGTTTGTTGAGCAGTCTGAGATGGAGTGTGATTGAGTTGGTTTGATTGTTGGCTAGGTTGTTAAGTTGTTGTGTCCTTACAAGTAGATTTGTAATGTCCTGCTTTCTTACACCTACTACACTTCACCAGAAAACTTGTTCTTCTCAATTTGCGAGCAGACCCATCAATTTCACCTTGTTCTAGTTTCCTCTTCTTTTTAGGTCTACCTGACATCTTCCTGAACTTGGGTGGTTGCACATCTGGGTATGGTGTATTAACCCACAAGTTTGCTTCATTAACAGGGTAGATCACATGCTTATAAACTGCCTTGTACCTTGAAACACTGTAATAATCTGGAATGTAAGTATCCAGCTTGAAATTCCTACTCTTCATAGCAGAATGAACATGAACACATGGGAGCCCTGTGAGTTCCCATCTTCTGCATGAACATATCTGATCTTTCAGGTTCACAACAAACTTGTCAGCTTGATTTTCTATGTGCCTTACTTCAAATATATGTTCATCAGACATCCTAAATGATTAAACAAACAAAAGTACATTAGTCACATGTATGTCATAAACAAACAAAATACATTACTCACATGCTGTGACATACCTTACTAGCCAGTTGTTGGTGTATATTCTTGTGACATCAAGTTTCTTTCTAATATTGGGAAAAATATCATTCTCATCCAAAGTTCCAAATCTCAGTCTGTTATTTACCCATCTCTCCATCATGTATGTTCTGATGTCTTCTAACATAGTGATTAGAGGTTTTGCCCTTGCTTCAAGAATGACACTATTAAAGGACTCAGACATGTTGTTGAGAACAACATCACATTTGTTTTCAGTCCTAAAGTAAGATCTACTCCAAAACCTTGGTGGGGTCTTCATCATATGTTTAAATGCTTCTTCATTGATGGCCCTCATTCCCTTCATCTCTTTTTCCCATGCCTGTGGGTATGTTGACTTGGCAGCCTTCCATATTATGTCTTTCAACATCTTTCCAGGAAACTTTTTTCTAAAATTGTTATAAAGGTGCCTAACACAAAACCTGGGCTCCACCCTTGGCAATAACTCATCCATAGTAGGTAGCAGACCCTGCAATAACATACAATGTAGCATTACAATATAGCATAACAGAAATAGCATAACATAAACACATAAAACCATATGAATAAATGAAAAACTTGCCTTTTGTTGGTCTGAGATGAAGGTGTAAGTCATGCATTCATCTTTGCCTCCAAGGTCATCAATTAACAGCTCTAAAAACCAAATCCAGTTATCCTTGTTTTCACTCTCCACAACTGCATATGCTATGGGAAGCATCTGATCATTAGGATCCCTCCCAATGGCAGCCAGTATCTGCCCTCCATACAACCCCTTAAGAAAACACCCATCTAGACCTATTACATGCCTACACAACTTAAAGCTTTCCTTACACGCAGCAAAACATATGTAAAGCCTTCTAAAATATGGTCTTTCATCCTCAACACCTCCTTGTACAGGCTTAACATTAAGCTTAATTGTTGACCCTGGATTGGCTCTTAACAGTTCATGACAGTAGTCATAGACCCTTGTGTAATCTCTCAAAAAGGAACCATCTACATAGTCTCTAGCTGCGAATCTTGCTCTTATAGCTTTGGTTTTGTTGACCCCAACATTCCAATTTTTTTGTGCCTTCTCCTTGATATCCTTTATACTCAACCTTGGATTGTTTTTCAAGCTATTTTGAATTCTTTTACTCAACCACTTTGTACTCATCAGCTTCACATTATACTCCCTACTGCAACTGTGTTTATCAATTACTTTTCTGAGTTGCCAAGTGTCTTCAGTTGACAACTTGCTACAATAAGCCTCCCACTCACAACCAACTTTACATCTAACCCTTACCCTAACTCTGTCATTTTTTACAAACCTTAGATCTCTACCATTTTGAACAACATATGTTGTTATTGCTTCCCTAAAATCATCCTTTGAACTAAAGTACATTCCCACATCCCACTTGTAATTTGACATGTCTTTTGACTGTCTGAAAATTTGATGTTTTTTTCTTACAACTCCACTGCTATCATCAGTGTCACAACCACTTTTCATTTCCTCACTGTCATTGTCACTTCCTTTACCATCATTTTCTACACCTTCTCCATTACCATCATTGTCATGACCAACTAGGGCATCAAGTTCATCCTCCCTAATCTCATCACACCCATCAGACTCATCCTCAAAAGCAATATCTTATGCGCTATCATAATTTTAGTCCTCATCTACACTATCATCAGATGATAGACTTAAGTCATCATACACTGCAGCTTTGCCTTTTCCAACTCCAACATCACCTTGTTCCCCTGTAGCACTCCCTCTTTTAAATCCAACATTACCTTGTTCCCCTGTAGCACTCCCTTTTTCAACTCCAACAGTATGATCAGCCACTGCAGGATCATCATCAACTCTAACATCCCCTGCAACATTCCCTTCCTCCATGACAGCGGTGGCTTCATCAACTCTAACTTCACCTTCCTCCAACCCAACATTGGCTTCATCGACCCTAACACCACCTTCCTCCAAACCAACAGTGGTTTGTTCAACTTCAACAACTTCTTCATGTAGTTTACTAAGTAACTCCTCTACCTCATCTACAATTTCAACAGGGTCCTCATCAACTTCATCAACAACAACATCACAATAGTCAGGTTGAGACAATGTGTGTTCAATATAAATATCAACATTTCGGTGCACCCTATACAGATCTGCAATTTCTAAAGCACCATTGTCATCAACAAGTGGGTTCATCCCAAATTGAGGGTCCTTGTAAAATATTGTTTCAAACTCCCTATAACCTAAGTCTTTCAATACACCAACTAGCTCAAAATAACTCCATCTGTCTACATCTACCCTCAAATCATCTACTACTCCATTCTCATATACACTGCGACCTTCATCTGTGAACTCACCACTGTGATGAATTTTCAGAGTTATGTATTCATCCATGATAACCTGATCATATAATGTAAGTAATTAACGTTTACACCAACAAATTTATATAAACCCTAAATCTGAACCTCTACCAGAAAACCCTAAATCAGAGAGAAATGAACTAACCTTTTGATTATGGCTCTTGAATCATCTTCAATCCTCAATAAAAAAACCATGTCTTCTTCTTGAATCGTCTGCTCTTGAATCGTGCCTTCTTCTTCTGGATAATGGTGGTTAATGAAAGCTTCAATCGTTCTCTCTTCTTCCCTCCTATTCTTCCCTCTAAGACACTTCACTTCCACGTCAGCACTCCACCCACTCAAATGTGTCAATTTTTTCAAAAGCAAACTAACGGTAACACACAGAAGGATAAACGTGACACCATTTTAAAAATTAAAGGATCAAGTTGTCACTTTTTAAAAATAAGGGACCAACATAGATCCCGAGATAAAATTAAGTAACCCAAAAGATTATTTTATCTTATTATCTCTTTCTTTTTTTAATTTTATTTTGTTTCCTCTATACTTTCTTTAACCGCTAAACAAGTTACAAATAGAGCAGAAATTGAGTTGGGGCCAGCGGTGGCGTTGGGCAGCTAGACCACCCATGGCTCCGATGGCATCTGTATCAGCACTTGTTAGGTTCATCACGAGTAACACTTCTACATGTTAGGTACACATCAAAGATCGAAAAGCTACAAATTTTCTGCAGTTAGATAAAAATGCAGACATCAATTGCATTCTCTCCACGTTTAAACGGAATAATCAACAGAAACCGCAATTCTAAATCCATTTTGTTGAATCATCAAACAAATAAATCATCCTCTCAACTTACATTAAGATCTAGTCTTCAACCTAAATCACTGTTATTATTTCCTTTCACATCAAGATCTGACAGAATATATATCTCTAAAGTGGGTCCACTTCGTTGCGGCATTTCATCAAACGGTTTCAGTGGAGATGGACGAAGGAGTGTTAGGGAGTGGATTGAGGTTGGTAGTGAGGCAATATCCACGGCTTTTCCATTGTGGGTAACGGTTGGGTGTGTGCTGGGTTTGGTGAGGCCGAGTTCATTCAATTGGGTCACTCCTAAACTGTGTACAGTGGGACTTAGTGTAATTATGCTTGGTATGGGTATGACTTTAACTCTTGATGATCTTCGTTCTGCTTTTTGTATGCCTAAAGAAGTTCTATCTGGTTTTTTCCTTCAATATTCGGTTAGTATGCTACTTATCTAACTCAAATTTACTAGTTTCATTAAGATGTTAATGCAAAAGGATATGACCTTGGTAAAAGTTTGATTTTCTTGTTGCCTATGAAGCACAATTCATGACAAGACATCGGCTGACAATGACCCGTAGTGTCAGTATCAGTGTCATACAGAAGTCAATGTCTGACACGGACTGAAAATAGAGAAGTTAACACAAGAATTTTTATTTGATCTATGAAATTTATAGACAGCACAAACACTTTAGTTTGAATGTCAATGTGTGTTTATATTCAATCACTTTCATTTCGGTAATTATAACCAATGTTGTGTTATGTTGGTGCTATGTGTAAAAATCATTACCTGCATTCCAAACCGTTTTTCTTTATGAAGTTGATACCATGGTGAATATTTTCAGGTGATGCCAATATCAGCATTTCTTGTAAGCAAACTCTTAAATCTTCCATCACACTATGCAGCTGGTTTAATATTAGTTGGATGCTGTCCAGGGGGTATGAATTTTCATCTCGTGATATATGCTTTTTGTCTACCTTTTTCACCTATTTTATATACTCTCTTTTATCGGCCGCAGGCACAGCTAGTAATATCGTAACATATCTTGCACGGTGCGTAATTTTTATTCTTTCAATTAAGAATTCTATTAATAGATAATGAGCAAAGTGATTTGATCATTTATTTGCTTTGCTAGTGGAAATGTGGCACTTTCTGTGATAATGACCGCTGCAAGCACTCTATCTGCTGTGGTTTGTATCGCTTAATTTTAAGTCCGATATATTTTAACTGTAAACTTTTTCTCACATTAACTGGCTGAAAACTTAACATTGCAGATCATGACTCCTTTTCTGACAGCCAAACTTGCTGGTAAATATGTTGCTGTGGATGCAGCCGGTTTATTGATCTCTACATTGCAGGTAAACTTTTCTTCTTGAACGCCGTTTTTATCTCTAATTAGTCTCTGCTTGGATAAACAACTTAATTAAATTTCTTATAGTATAAGTGGTTATCATATAAACTACTTCTACAAAAATTAAACTTTTTCGTATAAGCTATAAGCTAAAATAATCGATGGCCATGTTATAATTTATATTTATAAGCTCTCTCAAACAATGTCACAAGTGGATGTGCCGGTAGGCGTTTACTTAATTGTGAAGTGTCTGTCTTACTCTTTCTCTCACCAAAAATGAATTATTTTTTGTATTCTCTGTCAATAGGTTGTGCTTCTTCCTGTATTGGCCGGTGCATTTCTGATTCAATATTTCCAACCTTTTGTAAAATTTATCTCTCCATTGATGCCACCAATGGCTGTGGCAACGACAGCAATGTTATCTGGAAACGCCATTGCCCAAAGTTCATCTTCAATTCTTATGTCTAGTGGACAGGTGATTTTAGCATCTTGCCTTCTTCATGCTTCTGGGTTCTTCTTCGGTTACATACTAGCAAGGATGCTTGGGCTTGATTTGTCATCTTCGCGAACAATATCCATCGAGGTTGGCATGCAGGTAAAACCAGTGTTCAATAATTGCATCATCAATTAACCACAGGCAATTTGCTACTCTTTTTTCTTGTGATCCTTTGTTCAATCTGGCCTAAGTTTACGCGACTTTTTTCGACTTCTCATTATTGTAGAACGCAGCTCTTGGTGTCGTTCTAGCTACTAAGCACTTTGGAGATCCTCTAACGACAGTACCTTGTGCTGTTTCAAGTGTGTGTCACTCAATCTTTGGTAGCATCTTGGCAGGAATTTGGAGGTTTTCTGTGCCTTCTGAGATAAAGGACTGAATATATTTAGCTTGATGAACTCCTGCATGTAACTAGGATTGTATTTGTATAATGTCATGTGTAGTCCTCCAAATTATATTTATATGGTTTGTTTTAGATTTTCAATTTGTTCGCAATATTCTTTGAAGACTGGACACCTCTAAAATTCAGTGTTGATATGTGTCAGATATCTCTCTCTCTGATAGGTTCAATTTAATATCTAACAGCAGATAAACAAGAGAATTATTTTTCTGATAGGTTCAATTTAATATCTAACAGCAGATAAACAAGAAAATATAAACAGAATAGCAATATTCAGTAGAAAAGTTATGAACTTTTAATAAAAAGGACTAGAGATCAAACAAGATCTAGTCATTTAAGGAAAACAGAATTAGAGATCAAACAAGATCTAGTCATTTAAGGAAAACAGAATTGTCTAGAAGAAAAAAAAAATAAGGAGGCTCGAGGCCTAGTCTCTTCCAAGAGGATCTTATCCACTAAATTCTGTCCATCCTCGTTGGTGTCAGCTACCCATCATTTATTAGAAAATCTTTAGATTCTCTCTCCGCTCACCAAATGCCAGCTGTCTCACCCATGTATTAATATAGTTAGCAGAATTTGTACTATTCTATTACTCTCTCTCATCCTTTTTTATGTTGGGTAATGCTAACTTGTACTCCAAGGGCACAAGTTAAAAATTAAATTAAGAAATATTATCTTGAAAATTGTGTACAAACTTTAATGAAAGTATAAAATTAAGTTTTAAATTATTTTTTCCAATAAAAATTTACTATAAGTGAGTCTCTTAACTTGTACCATTGAAGCACAAGTTAGCATTACCCTTTTATGTTTTCTATTATATACTTTGCCATATCTACCATTTTCTAACATTTATACCACATGTCTGAGACAAATTTTTCATAAAAGTATTTTTTGTTTACTTTTAAGATATTAGCCTTTGACACTTTTAAATTAATTCCTTAACTGATTCTTCAAGTGTGCATTTTATATATTCAATAAAGAAGAGAAAAAATAGTTGTGATTAGAAAATGACCAATTGAAATTTATCTTTGGATAAAATATAATGTATTAAGTTCCATGATTACCTAAAAAGTAAACGTTGATTTTAGGGGTGGCAAAACGGGTTGGATTCGTCAGATCGACTCGTTTGATCCACTATTTTTAGCAGACTGAGTTGATTTTATGGACTCGGTATTTTAAGTTGGTTTGTCTTGTCTAATCCACTTAAAAAAGCGGACCGAGGCGGAGTGGGACGGATTTTGCCCATGGATTTTTATTTTTTACTTAGAATTAAAACAATTTTAACTATAAAAACAACAATTTTCTTAGGTTTATGTTGATTAAATTATATTATAAATTATTATACAAACAAAATAAGTTATAATTGAAACGTTTTTTCTATAACTTTCTAATACATGTGTTAATTGGAAAAATTTAAAACAAAAGAACAATTATATGTCATGTTGAATTATTAAGTTGTCAAACATTAGCTCACATGTTCTTTTTAGAAATGGATGTTAATTTTAAAAAAATGAAGGATTTGATTAGTGTATACGTGTGATAAATTTAGGATTTAACTATTAAGGAATCCGTCAATATAAGAGTCTATATGATGTAAACAGTGAGAAAGTCAGATCTTGATATTTTATGCACTGTAATGTTTTATGCAATGTAATTGTTATCATTGTTTGTTTTTTGTAAATTTATTATTGAGTTCTTTTAGTAGTTAGTTTTTAAATAGGATTAGAATGATATGTATTATTTATTTATTTTGATGCGTTTTTTTATTGTGTTTGAGTTTATTCCATTAATTTTTTTGTTGTAATTGGTCTTCTTTTTTTTGAATTGTTTGGAACATGTTAAAGTTCTATTATGTGTTTTTAAAAAAATCTTTTGTCGACCTTTTTGATAATAAATAAATTTTTAGTAAATTATGTACTAAATCAAATTGTAAAATAAAAAGTTAGCGGTTAAGATCGTCAACCCGCCAACTCGTTAGTAAACGGGACGGATTTGACTTTTTAGTTCGGACGCCTAAGTTGATCCGTCCTACTTTTTGAATGGGCTTAAATGAGACGGACCTAAACGAGGCGGGCTGCCCACTTTACCACCCCTAATTCATTCTACAAAGACTAAAATAGATAATGTCATCTGATTCCAATGAGAGTTATAATTCTAAGATAGAGTTTATGCCTCATCTGACACACTGCATTTCGTTATCTTATGTAAGAGCGACTCTTATGCCTCATCTGACACACTGCATTTCGTTATCTTATGTAAGAGCGACTCATTCATGTAGCAAATATTTTAAACATCGGACTGATATCAAATCTGTAAGTAAGAGTATTGGATCATTGGTTTATTCGTCAAACCAATATATCATTTGTCAAATCGCATGAGTAAATCGAATTAAATCAGATAATTCTATTGAATAATCCGGTCTCTATAACAAAATAATATATTTATTAAATCGGTCGAACTAGATGGCTCGATCTTTAAAAAATATCGCGACACCTATAAAATTTTTAAATATTATAATTTTACATGTTGATTTTTTAAATTCAAATTTTAGATATAGTCATCACACAACAAAATAGTATAAAATACAAATCCAAATAAATTAAAAAAAAATCTAATTGAAAACAAGACAAATTTATTCTAAATAAAATTTGAAAAAATCTATTTATATTTTAATTATATTTATTAAAAATTTATCAAAACGGCGTCATTTTATCCGAAAAAAAATATGCATTTAAAATGTCGGTTTTTCAAAATCGTAAATTTATTTATTTTGTTAGTTCTAACTGATTTTTACTGATTCAATAATACATTCAATCCAGCAATTAAAGCAGATCAATAACCCCTCTAATTTTTTGTTCGACCAGTTCGATCGGTTCAACTTTTAAAATTATGGCTGCAACACTCTAGAGCACCTGTATTGAAGGCAGACTATGCAGAAAAATGGAGCTAATTAAGAAAATTTGTTTTCTAAGTTTTAGAAGGCACATCATAACTTGTTTCTTAGAAAGACACATCACCATTCAAATATAATGCCACGGATAAGGTGGCTTTTAACCAAGAAGAATAAATGACAAAGAAATATTTTTATGTGAAAAACATTAATATTTAAATATTAGAAAAATGGTAGTGTACTATGACATGTCATATATAAGACATTTTTAATTGGAAAAGCAAAAGGAAAACGAGTTGCTACTCTAATTCCATGTCATCCTTAAATCCTAGTCGTTAGAGACTTTCTTAACACATCTCATTTCATTTAGTTGTTATATATTCCATCTTGAAAGTGTTTGGAGTTTTTTTTTTTTTTTTTTTTTAGATTGAAAACTATGAGTAGATTTTCAGTGAGATGATGCAAAGACTCACGATTGTCATTTTGACTTATAATTTTTCTCTTGGTTAGAGATGGCAATAGATAGGATATTATAATATTCATTCTTAAATTTACATATTAAATTTTTTTTTTATCCGAGTCTATACCCACGTAGGATATTATAGTACCCATACTCATATTTGTTTATCCGCATTTTTAATAAATAATATTGATTAATTATAATTTATCATGCCATTTTAAATTTTTAACAGCATTTAAAAAAAATGAAGATATTATTGTTGAGTTAAAAATTAGACAAACATCTAGGCTAAAATGCATTGAAATTTAATAGAGATTTATTTAATAATTTTTTTAGAATAACCTATGTTCATTATAATAAAAATGAAATTATATAAATATATGTCGTGCGGATATGAGATGAGTTAGGTATTAAGATACTCGTATTTATATCATATCCGCTTATTTTAGTGGATAATCTCCATACTCGTACTCATGCTTATTTTACAGGTTTTTATCCTATCTATTATAAGTAAACTTTTCGAATATCCACTGGAGATGGATACAATTGTCATTCCTATTCTTGGTAAATTTATTTTCTCTCTTGAATATCTCTGCAATGGTTTCATTCACGTTTTATTTCATTTTCTTTTAGTTAGTTAAGCTCAATAAAAGAGTAAATGTTAATATAATCGAGGGGTAAATAAAGTGTTAATTAATGTTTATGATCGTACCTGACCAGAAGGGGATCGATGATCTGCCACGCGTCGTCGATCTGGAAGTTGTTCACCCAAGGTGTAGAAGAGGAGGAGGTGTACCTGAAACACACTTTGATGCCAACGTAAGTGACAAGCAGAGTGGAAGCAAGTACAGAGAGAGTAAGAAAGTTAAGTTACCTGACCCTCTAGTGAAGAGAGTATTTATAGTGACCCCCCAGCGCAGGGCCAACGGTTACCTAACACTGGGTTGGGCTGCCAGGCTCAATGTTAGTAACTGCTAGGGCTGACGTGGCGTCGTGAAGACCAGGACGTGGTCTTCGCCCTAGGATAATTGTTCCGCACTATCCGGGAGGAGGAAAACCGAATCTCCAGGAAGTGGGTAGGTACGTTATGACGTGTCCCTGCGTGAGGGACACGTGGAAAACGTGGGGGAAGGTCCGAGGAGTCACCCGGGCAGATAAAGGTGGCTGGTCGGATGCAAGGGTCCGACCCGACGAAGGGGAAGAGGCAGACTGGCTGATCGGAAGCGAGGGTCCTACTCGATAGATGTTGGTCTGTGCCCGACAAGGAGGTGTCCTGCTCGACGGGGATTCTTCCCGTTAACGTGGTATTCTTGGGCCCAACTTCATTGGGGCTTGGGCCTGCTTGTTGTGAGCTAAGCGTCGGCCTAGTCCAGAATGGTAGCCCCTCAAGTCGTTGTTCGCGGTCGTGCGAGTTATGACTTGAGCAGGGAATAACGTTGGGCCCGTTGATCTGTCGGACATGTAGCAGTTGGACAGGTTGCGATCGTGTCGACCAGGAGAACTTACGTCGAGGATGTGCCCGTGGTCGAGGGGAGAAGTTAAAGAGATGCATGGAAGATGGAGGATCGCCACGTGTCTTCCTGAAACGGCTACGGTCTAGGCACTTGAATGCCTAGCGACACTTTATTT